ATGAATTTCAATTCTTTTTTTTTTTGTTAAAGATCATTAAACAAAGTTAAAATTCAACCAATGTCTCTTCTCCTATATATAGAACACGAATTTCATTTTCAATTCTTTCTGGTTCGGATTTTTCTTTTTTGTATAAAATCAAAAATGGTATCATTCATTTGTAACAAAAAAAATTGGTTTAGTTTGAATGCTAACATAAATGCTTTTTTGGTTCAACTTAATTATTTTGATGAAATACATAGGTGGACATATTAATCCGGCAGTGACCTTTGGGCTGTTCTTGGCTCGTAAAGTGACGTTGTTGAGAGCAGTGATGTACATAGTGGCTCAGTGTCTCGGTGCCATTTGCGGTGTGGCTTTGGTCAAGGCCTTCCAGTCTTCTTACTACACTCGCTACGGAGGCGGCGCAAACGGTCTTTCCAACGATTACAGCGTCGGTACCGGTGTAGCCGCCGAGATCATCGGTACATTCGTCTTAGTCTACACCGTCTTCTCCGCCACTGACCCTAAGAGGAGTGCGCGTGACTCTCACGTCCCGGTAAGCTTGTGTGTTTGGATTAATTTAGTTAAGAGAATGTGATTTGATCATTATATTCACTACAAAGATACAATTTAGTCGTCGTTAGATTATGTCACAAGAAAGAAAATGGGATTAGTCATATGGTTAGATGATTTAGAAATGCACCGCATTAATGGAAACAGTAGAATATCCGTGCATTATACGGCGTGTACTATTTATCATTAAAACTATGACGTACAAAGCATTAATCAGCCTAGTGGAGAATCCAATAGTATTTTTTTATTTTTCAATAGTATTTGTAATTTGTTAAAACTATTAATATTTTAGTGTTTGTTTTGCTCTAGATTTTCTGAACAGAACAACTGATGAAACCAAGATTAAAGCTTATAGTTTTTAGATTTTTCATTATAATAAACGACAAAAAGGACATCGAACATATAAAACCTTTTGTGGTTTCACGCCTCTCCCCATCACATGTCCTTTTTTTGTAAATGGTCCCATCTCCATTTGCAACCACGTATACTTCTCAAAAACATGACTACACTATTTGTCTCGTGATTAACATTATATTTCGTTGTTGTTGTTGGTGTGGTAACTATATTGAAGGTATTGGCTCCATTACCCATTGGATTTGCGGTATTCATAGTTCACTTGGCTACAATCCCAATCACGGGGACTGGCATTAACCCTGCTCGAAGTCTCGGAGCTGCAATCATCTACAACAAGGACAAAGCTTGGGACCATCATGTTCGTATTTTACTATATCTTTTTCTTCGATGTTACATTTCGAAAAATTGTTATTAATGTGTTTTTATATTATTACAGTGGATATTTTGGGTGGGTCCGTTTGCGGGTGCAGCCATTGCGGCTTTCTACCATCAGTTTGTGTTGAGGGCTGGTGCGGTGAAGGCGCTCGGGTCCTTCAGGAGCCAGCCTCACGTTTAGCTTTGATTCTCCCCAATGATCAAGAGAGCAAAGAGAAGATAACAAAGGAGGCTTTATCTACATATGTAGATGGTGGTTGGAGCCAAGTGACGTGTAGTATCTAATTTCTAGCTTTGTGAAGAGAGATTTTGAGTGTGACTTATGGTCCAACTTTGAGTTGCTACTTCTATAATTATATGATATCTATGTTACTTCTTAACTAAAATATTGCTCTTTTTTATTAGTTTGCTAAATTCCTTATGATCAACTCAAGTCCCGAAAGTAAATTATGTTCGTATTTTGTGATGATGTCTTGGTCAATGTTTGTATTTCGTCCCTTTTTTACATCTTGTATTGTGTTTATCTTATGTTGTTTGATTAAAAATTAAGCATTTTCTTGTTTTGTTTAAAGCACACACGATGACAAAACACAAACACGCACACAGTAGTTTAGCTAGTAGTAAACATAATAATTTTTTTTGAGTAATACCATTTTTGAAATGCCATTTTTTTATGCTATTTTTTAATTTTAATTTCAAAAATATTCTAAAACTATAATATTTACTTGGTTAACTATTTTATGTTAGAGTTTAGTTTGTTAGGGATCAAAATCCATTTAAAAGTTTTAAATTTGAGGATATAAAGTTTAAAAAAACCTTAATAAGTGACATTTTTAAAACTGAACAATTCATGAAGGTATTTTTGAAAATTATCATACTAAAAAAAAGTTTTAAATCTTTTTCCTTTTGGCGATAAGGGAACCAACACACTTAATATCCATAAATTCAGAGTTAAAATTTTGTGTTATGAGAACCGAAAAGCATGAAGAAGAAAACATATCGCTTGTTAAGTCTCAACAATTTAAGTAAAAAAAACTATTATTGTTTCTATCAGGCCATGTTGTGTTGCCTTGTTTTTTGGAATTTGGCTGGTAATGATAATCTCATTAGTTAGGGATCAATTACAAAAATGTCATTTTTGTGTTCACATTTGCAAAAATATCATTTAGGAATGTCTATTTACAAAAATGACACTAATTATAGATTTATAAAGCATATATATTAAAATTCTAAACCTTAAAAAATGTTTTGAGACCTAAAACCTCATAAAGACTCAAAACTAAACCCTAATAAAACATAATTAAGCCAAACATAAATAATATAAAGAAATTTTTTTTTGAAAAAGTGGCAGTTTTATAAAAATTTTAAAAATGTGGCATTTTTGTAAAGTGACACTTGAAAAATGGCATTTTTTTTAAATTCCTCATTAGTTAAAAGTTGTTGGCATTGTGTATTGGATTGGACAATGATGGAAACGACGCATTAAGTGGTCAAATTAAGTGGCCATCAATCTAATCGTAGATTTAGCTTAACTACCTTTTGTTACATGCGCATTTTTGAAACACATGATGAAAATATGTTTGGCACAAGTCAATCGACAAAGCTAATCTCTCTATTTTAACTAACTTCATGTTCAAGAATCAAAAGTAAAGGTCTTAACATATTATTACTAAGAAATACAAGGAAACATCATCATACACATTTCAACTCAAGTCATAGAGGTTGTGTTTTTTTAACTATCGACTATAATTAACTCTCACATGAACATTACCGAATGTTGAT